GGAGTGTGGATTTGCTCTACTCGACTGATTGTTTCGGTGAATTGTGTGAGTATACGAGACTGATTGGTTAAGCATATAAGAAAGGAATCAGGTGTAAGGTGAGCGTGAATACCTAATCAGCAGAAACATTTGCTTAAGCCAATTACATGCAAACCAAGTCATTTGGAAGGCTTTGTGGACAATGTGAATCTGCAGTGGAATGTCGCTAACATCTAAACTAGCAAAGATTCCATGAAAGCAACCTAATCACCGAGCGTAACATCGGATTCTCTATGGTGAATTCATTCTCTCAGGTGTCGTCTTTATTTGTCACGTTGTGTTGTTGCGTTAGACTCCTTGCACTTGTCTCTCTGGCCAGTTAGTTGAAACGCATTTTTATCTTGGCACAAGCCTACAGGTATTCTTTTCCATCCGACTACGCTATCGTGTTATTTCTTGATCTCGTATTCGAGGTTTGCAAAATTGGGATAAATTAGTGATTGGTCTTTGCGCCTTACAACTTTGCACCAGGACAAATCTTAATTTGGTGAGCCCGACGTTATCAAATATCCCGATGGGATTTCATATCCCTCCTTATTTATTCAACATTTCGCCCAGATCCAATTCATCAGCGCAAACAAGCAAATTAGTTAACTGACTGACAGCCAACTTCACCACATGAAAGAGCGACAGAGAGAGAAAAAGACAAATAGACAGACAGATATCAGGCAGGCTGACTAACAGACAGACAGACATATAGAGAGACAGACAGACAGACAGGCTGACAGACAGACAGATGGACAGTGAGATATGGAGAATAAGACAGGATGTCATGTTGGCATGCAGGCTGGCATTCAGACAGGTATGTTGTCAGCCAGGCAGACAGGCAGCCAGGCAAGCAGGCAGGCAGACAGGCTGGCAGGCAGGCAGGCAGGCAGACAGGGAGATAGTGGGTCCGCTGGGACGACTTACTGACTCGCTGAATAACTGGCATCTCACAATGCTCCATAATTCATAAAGGTGGAATAAACAATTGGAAGGAAGCACAGAAATTCACATAATGCACAATAAGGGATGGTTTCAGTGAAGATGGAATTATTTCTGAAATACGGGTGACACATAAATGTATGGATGAATGGAGTGCTGTTGAAGCGTGTGAACGAGCGATCCAGCTATGCAATAATTTCAGTAGTCCAGTTGTAATTATTTTTGTTTTTGGTGTTATATAATTTATTCGAAGTCGTTAATTTTTTTTGCCTCTTATGATGTGGAGATTTTCGTTGATTTTGATGTGTGCGTTTGCTTTTCTTTTTTTGTTACCTGGCTTTCGGTTGAGTGGATTCTTGTTGAATGTGTGATGGTCGCCGTTTTTTGTTCTGGTCATTTATTGTTCTCAGAATATCGTATGTTATTACGAATATTTCTTGTCGGATCATCGGTAAATTGATTAGTTTTTTTTTCCCTTATCCTGTATGTTATGAGTGATGTAAAATTATTATTACGATTATTATTAGTCCCTTGCGTTTCTTATTTAACATAGGGCTTCAGTGGCACGTCTCCAGTAAACTCTGTTCTCTGAAATCTTTTGAACCTGGTTCCACGACAGCCCACAAGCTGTCATTTCCTCCTCGCTCTATCTCTTCCGTGTCAGCCTTGCCTCTGACGCCCAACTTGTTGTTTCCTTTCTGGTTTCCACTTGACGTCGTGTTGCATGATGTCCACAGTCGGCCTTCTCAGTGTATGCCCAATCCATCTCCACTTCCTTCCACTGTATATTTGTTGGGTGATAGGTTCTTGGTTGGTTCGTTCCCAGACTTCCTCCTTGCTTATTCTTTCTGGCCATCTGATCTTCAGTATCGAGCAAGCGTAGACGGTTGTTGATGAATGTCTTTAGTTTGTTGGAAGTGCTTTTCGTGATGCGCCAAGTTTCTCAACCATTTAGCAGCACTGATCTGACCGAATTGGTGTTGAAAATCCGGATCTTGTTCCTTGTGCTGAATGCAGCAGATCTCCACCCTGAATTCAGATTAGTGAAATCCTGTCTTGCTTTTTCCCATCCTGGTTTTGATATCCTCGTCTGTGCCACCTGTAGTTGAAACCGTGCTGCCTAGATGTGGATTTTCTTGTTGTTGTTGGTTGGGTATCTTCATCACCTCTGTCTTCTCTATATTCACTTGAAGTCCCAACTTCACTGCCTCTTCTGAGACATGTAAAATTAGCTCACTTTATTTTTTCCAGCGAATTTCTGAAATTTACTGAGAAATAATTCTTCCCTCTTAACTTTTTCATTTTTGAATTGATGTGAATAATCTTTGCATTGTCCTGGTGTGTTATTATTCTTTGTTGTGAGTTGATATTTTCTCACTACTGTCATGGTAGATTCTTCTCTTCATACTGTATATTTTTTGAAGGTGAAATGCTTATCTGATCAGTAGTTGAACCTTGTAGCTCAGTTAGTAAAACACTAGGTCAAAAAGTCAGTGTTCACTGATTTGAATCCAGTTGCGGTTCAAGTTTTCATTTCACCGACAACAACGGCTATCTCAGATAGTCAAAAATGATAAACTCTCATGTTTTTAGACCTATCAATTCCCTGAAGAATACCCAAGACACTTTCAATCTGTTTTGCTTATATTAATTACCATCATTTATTTATGTAGTTGGTTATTACGTTGGATGGTTTAGTTCACTTCCTGTTGTCATATTAGATCTTATATTGCTGTCTCGACATAGCTACTAGTGAGATTTAAGATTTACGGTTGCAAAAGATAACAACCTATTAGATAACGATTTGACATTTAAAGCGATTGGTTCTGAATACGAGTCCCATTAATAACATCATCACTCCATAAGTACATGAAACTGGCAAGCCTTAAACAGGATGAGACATCCCAGCAGAGGTTCAATCAGTGTTATCCAGTATACCAGGGGGGTATTACAGGTATCAATGCGTAAGAACTGATATCTATCGCATGGAAAGCTTAATGGATAACATGAATATGTTTGAAGCGATATTTCTTGTATTCGAGTCTCAGTAGGAACAACATCAGTTATTTGGATGCAGGTAAATTCAGTTCAGTCAGTGAGTCCCAATATGAAAGAAAAACACTTCATGGTTTCTAAATTTGTCCATCACCAAGCAAATAATATCAGAGTTTTCATGTTTAATTGAATAATACTGTCAGATATGAACAGCAGTTAGTATCTAGATGAACAGAAGTGCTTTCTCAAAGTCTATCACAGTAGTAAATCGTGCAATATTTGACCAGATCTAAATGAATTGCTTAGCGGTTTTTCATATGCATACTATAACTGCATCAAGTCGACTGTTTTGTAATTCAGGGAATGAAGATAAACCAATAAATAGATTATTCTTACAGTGAATGCTACTTGCTTGGTATTGTTTAGGTGATTAAACCTTTACGGGTTTCTCTCCTCGTTAACCCGTCTATCTGACAAACTATAATATCACCATATTGTGCAAACTTAGTGGCACATCATGAGACAAACTTTCAACTGTTTGGTCAGTGATGATTGGCTAAAATTATTTCCCAGCTGCCTACTCTCCATACTGAGGATCAGATGGTCAGAATAATAAGAATAAGCAACAGGGAACTCCGGCTAACCTGGCAATGAGCCAACCACAACCAACCAACAATCTATCGTTCAAAAAATACGCAGTAGAAGAAAGTGGAGATGGATTGAATTGGACATACAGAGAGAAGACGGTCTGAGGAGATCACGTGTCAGATCAGACCAGGCCGTCGAGTGGAGCCCAAAGGGGAAACAATGAGTTGGGTGTGGCCGGATTCGAACCAGTCAACACTGGGTTTCTGTCTGATGTTCTACCAACCAAAAAATACGAAGTCTGACTGTTCACCACATTTTTATTTCACTTCGTCAATCACCAAGGTTTTCCCCTAACTACCGTGTGAATTCGTGACGCGTTACTACCACTTGATCGTTTTCACACTGGTTGCTGCCTAGTCAGGACTTCTCATCCCAGTCGAAATCAAAGTGAATCAGAGAAGGGGGAGCATCATATAGATAGACTATCTGATTTAGATAGTCATGGTTTGGTAGACTAGCATTTATGCTGGGTGAACTGAAAAGTTGGACCGCGGCCGGTTAGCAGTCGGGCCTCATAGCTCAGTTGGTTGGACATCAGGCCAGAAGCCCGGCTGTCACTGGTTTGATTCCGACCGCGGTCCACATTTTCATTTCACCACCTTCAATCATCATTCAGTACAAATGCTAGTCTGCCAGATGGTCAAGTGATTGTCTGTTTATCACATTACAAATCCTCTTCAAGTGGAGCTTCCAGTTGAAGATGATCACTTTGATACTGTTGACGAGAACTGTCAAATTTAAAACTTGCTTCATTGATATAAGTCAAGAACTTGATCACCGTAATACTGTAGGACTCTATATCCGTTGAATAACATAAACGGGATGGTTACTGCCATAGAAGATTATGTCATTATGTTTCAAATCATCTTCACCAGCTGCATATAACTTGATAGGAAGCAGCCCAAATGGAAATCAACATGTTAGGTCATCAGCTGTTAGACTAGAAGTTTACATATTTGCATTTTTGCTTCATGTCACTGTATGGTCAAGAATAAACTTATTGGATAATTTCACCCTACAGCTAATTAATCAGACCAAGTTATTTAATTTGTGAAAATTGCATACAAATGATGCATTTTTGTCGAATAAAGTGTCTTCGTTACAGTCATAGGCTGACCTATGCTTTCTGATTCCTCCTATTCAGCTACTGAATGTGTACTTCTGAGAAGTTATATACTATGACAAAAGGCTGTTCAGTTTTCAATGGTTCTACGGTTCATGTTGCTGTCTGTCATACGCCTAAATAAGAATTTCCACTCTAATCTGATTGGTTAATCTTGTGAGAGCAAATGATTGGTCATTAACATAGTTATAATAAGTATAATGTTTCTTCATTGAAATGAGAACATGAATGAATCGGTTTCTTCCTGTTACCTTTGAGAGATATACACATGAATCAATTAAATTTCAGTGCAATACATGAAACTAGAAAACTGTTGAATGAAAGTATCTTCTTTGCTTATCATAGAGATAATTATTCTGATACTTTATTGAATGGTATACTTAGTCAAAATCTTGACCTATTTTGGACTACTATGCATCAGTGTTTAGATTTAACCGATATTATGCATCAATATACTATGTTAAATCAATCATTGTCTAAAATATCTACTATTCATCAACAACATTATAGTACAGTACAATTTCAATCATTATATGATTGGTGTAATTTTGGCCGATCAACATGGTTCACTAATGTATTCACATTGATACATGATAATTCATGGCAAGAAAGAATTTCTTTTCATTTACAAAATTATTTAGTACCTATTTTATTGATTATTAACTGTTTAAGCCTAATCACTTGTATATCAGGTGTTTATCGATTGTGTAGTCTATCAAATAGATCGAATGGAAAAGTTATGATCATTATGAAACAACAGTCTATTGTACAATCATATCTTCCAGCCACTTGGCCACTGGTTTTATGGTATTGTATTTTTGGACTATTATGGTTAATGTTAGTACTTGGCTTTAAAGTGATCACCTTACAGTTATTTAAAACAAATATCGGTTTACATAGTCATGATTTCTACTGTAGAACACTAACATATCTGACAAATATCTTAAGGTATATTCCAACTTGGTTAATTTGTCTCATGTTATGCGATAGAGCGATAGGTGAACATCAAATCGAAATCATATCTATACAGAAATATTTGTTAATCCACAGATGATGAATAGATCAAATATGTGTATTAAAAATGAATTGGATTCAACTAATAATTTAGGTGTTTCAATTCGCCCAGTTATACAGAAATTGACTACACCAAATATTGTATATAGTCATACTGGTGAAACATCATTATCTTTATCGTCATCATCATCATCATCTATATCGAATTGTCAGTGTCAATTGAATGCTTCCAAAGAGAAACAAGCATACAGTAAATACTTATTCGATTATATATTATGTAAAAGATTTTGTTCTCAAAGTCAACATGAATTACATTGTGTTTTTTATGGATTGAAACGAACAAGTTGTGAGTTATGCATAAATGAACAGATAAACAACCGTATAAAGAAGCATATACATACAAATGGTTCATACAATGATGGTTATGAAAAATTGCTGAAAGATTTATGCAATTGGAATGAATGTGGTCTTGGCCGTGTCGGTGGTCTGGTACTCTTTAGCATTGTCACTGCACTTATCTGTCTAATAAATACCCACTTGTTATGGTTATATAAAATTGGAAAGTCTAGTAAACGTTGTGTCCTATCAGCTGGAGATGCTGTCATCTTGTCAGTATTTTATCCATATCTCTTGAAGGTAAGTAAATTATACTTTATAAAAGTTTATATTGCATTATACTATTGTTATCTTACTCTGGAATAGTAATAATATTATTATTTGTCCCTTGGGTTCCAAGTGGAATATAGGGATTCAGTAGCACGTCACCATTTCAATCTCTTCTCTGCATTCTATTCAACCTGGCTCCATCACTGCCCACAACCTTTCATTTCTTTCTCACACGATCTCCTCCTTGTTACCCTAGCCACGAACGTCCAACTCGCCGTTTCCAATCTAGGTTCTACTCAAGGGCCTGGCCTGACCCGGCACATGATGTCCCCAGTCGGTCTTCTCAGTGCACGCCAAGTCCATCTACACTTTCTTCCACTGCATATTTTTTCAGCGATAGGTTCTTGGTTGGTTCGTTCCCTCAGTTCCTTGTTGTTTATTCCTACTATTCTGGCCATTTGGTCGACTTTCACTATCGAGCCAGTGTAGGCAGTTGTTGATGAATATCTGTAGTTTGTTGGAAATGCTTTTCATGACACGCCAAGTCTCTCAACCATCACATAGAAGCACTGAGTTGACTGGCATTGGTGGTGAAAATATGGATGTTGTTCACGGTTTATGCTCAGTGCAGTGCAGTAGATCTGTACAGTGATTATTTCAGATTGATGAACGTCTGTCTTGTTGTCTTCCCGATCCTGGCTCCTTTGACGTCCTAGTCTGTGCTGACGCCACCGCCTGTAGTTGAGTAGATGTTACCTGGATGTGTGGGTGAAAGAGGCTACTTCCTTCAAGTTTCTCCCGTTCATGGTGATTGGTGCTTGTTGTCCATGCTGTTGTTGGTTGGGTATCTTCATCACCCCTGTCTTCTCCACGTTCACTTGAAGTTCAGTCTTTCTTCGCTGACTTGCCTCGCCCCTTCTGTCAACTTTTTAGTTTTCGCCTGTACATCTTCGAGTTTGTGAGACAAGACATTAGACATAGTTCGTCATCGGCGGCGAAATGCAAATTTTCTTCTGGAGTCTTTTCATCGGTCCAGCCAGTGTATGCCCATCTCGCTCCTCACTCTTTGCTGTATGGTCCAGTTGACCACAATCAGGAATATCATGGGTGATAGTAGACAGTTTTGTCTGTTTATTAGAAATGTCACACACCGAGGAAACAGTATCACATAGTGGATAACAACGTTTCGGATATCAGCAGGTAACTCAGCAACCTCGAGACAGAATTTATGTAGTTCTGATTTTTTCTCCATCTTTGCGATGACAAAGATAGTAGAATTTCCCATATATCTGGACTAGGCATACATTCATTTCTATTACTGCATGTATTTGGTGCTGATTCGCTAAACAAACGATTTGGTTATCAATCTCTCCCTCCTCCCACCCAACTAAGTTAGTTAGTTTCCATTTAACACTGTCGGTCTATAGCACCTTACTGTACGATTGTGTGTAATTGCATGGAGAAATATAGCCTACCTTTTTTCTACCTTTTTTTATCTTATAGGGTTCTGCTAATCTAGATTTAGCTGGGCTCTAGTGCTATGTAACTTTGATCGACCCTAGTTGACTGCTTTGACCGCCTTATGTATTCGACCTCGCGGTTATTGCAAGGGATTTGGTAAACTAAATTATTCTGTCTAATCTGATCTATGGGATCTACTAACCTACAAAGCTTATTTCTCCCAGTGAGTTTCTTGACTTAAATACCAGTCACTTTAATCCTAACCAGCCTTATTGAGAATTCTTTGTAATGTTTTTCAGGTACCTTCCTTATATGGTAACACAGTAGAGACTCTCAACCCTGTGGCATTTAAATCAAGAAACTCTCTTAGGGGAGCAAGTTTTGTAGGTTGAAAGATCCTGTTGATACAAGTAAGCAAACTAATTTGGTTTACCAAATTTCTTGCAATGACTGAGAGGCCAAATACTTAGCTCAATTAAAGTAGTCGACTAGAATCCTAATAAGATCAGAAATTTAGAGAAAAGCTTGGCTATAGCTCTGCACTCAATTACGCACAGTCACACAGAAGGGTGGGATACAGTGATAGTATTATATAGGAACGAAATTAGTTGGGTTCACGGAAAGATTGATGATCGGATCAATGTTCATCGAATCTACACAAAATACATCCAGTAATAGAAATGATTGTTCACCTGTCCCAGATATCTGGAGAATTCTACTACCCATGTCATCACAAATAGAAGGAGAAAGGATTAGGACCATATAAACTCTGTCTTAAAGTTGTGCAGGTAATTACCTGATGTGAATATGGACAATCAACTGTATCTGAAACGTTATTATCCAGTAAATGATACTGTCCCTTAACTGTGTGTGACATTTCTAATAAATAGACAAATGGAACTACAATCTACCACAGTGCCCAACTTTTTCTCCTAACTAGTCAGTACAAAAGTCGATATTCTAGGAACAGTACTACATTTCAAAGATTTAATTCTAAACGAAATTTTAACAAACTACGAGAGAAGAATATGATAAAATATATTCATTGGAAGCTTGTCCAGGAATTAAGCAGATTGCCTTAGAACACTGGGAAATCCTTTTAGAATGATTGCATGGATTAATTAATATATCACCTTTGAGTAAAATGATAACAGCAAGAATTTCTTCTAGGAAGAGAGGCAATAACTAACAGTTAATCAATTTTAGTAATGATAACTTTTAACGGTTCATTGATTCAACTCAAATCTTATTTCTAACTATCAATCCAGATCAACCTAAGACCAGGCATTACTGCGTAACCGTCTGACTTGCAACACCTCATATCAATACATCAAATAAAAAGGCAGTCAAGTGAAAGATGAAGATAAGAAAATCCAGTCAAAAGAAATACAAACTACGAAAAGAGAGAGAGAGAGAGAAAGAGAAAAGAAGGATGAGAGGATGGTGAGATTCGTTTGGTATAGCGTCGTTCAAATGAGGATAGATAATGTGTGTATACATCTGCCGCCCACTGACATCGGTTCTCAGCCATGTGATCACCTAGAGTCACTCTCCAACCACTCACTGCTTCCTCTTATCCCACCGACCTCAACCACCTAGTCTGCATCGCCCCCACATGGCTCAAATCAACAATCAACGACTTCATACACTGATGCCATGTTTTACTCTGGACGAGAACCTCGAGCATTTTTCCAGCCTGGACCTACTTCAGCCAACATTGTGTGACAAGGCAGTCGGTGACTAGGCATACGTAACACGTATCACAGCCAACCATCTCAGTCGATGAAGGTTTATAACCTCGTCAACTGATTCATCCCTCCTCCCTAAAACTCTACTCCTCAGCCTGACTTGTGCGTTACTCACGTGGTGTGGTGACACCATGGAATACGGCCTACACTACGAAGGCAACGGTGGTCAAACACTTCAAACCAGAATTCTCATGTCTTCCACCTTCAATGACCATGTTTCACAGTCATAGAGTAGAGGAGAGTGGACTGCTGTGCAGTACACGTGACCCTTAATAGACAATCGGATATCACGGCGGTGCCATATGTGGTATAAGTTGGTGAAATCCAATCGAGCCTTTTGTATGTGTGCGTAGATTTCACGAGAGACTGAGCTAGCTACCAGAGCAGGGCTGGTCCTTCTTCCTAGGTGAGTGAAGTGGTCGATATACTCAACCACTTCACTGTGTATTGTTGGCCGTAGCACTGTTGAAGACCAGTTGTGTAGCAGTAATTTGCATTTGGGTGGTGAGAAACGCATCCCAAACATTCTGAAATTCTCACTCAGTGTTCAGAAGACTCAGCATCTACATTTCTAACAGTGATTATAATTCAACTACTTGACTGAAAACCAGTACGATATAACACAGTTACCGTTTTGTATTAAACACAGTTAATTGGATTGTTTTTGACATATTATTTGAGCTTTCATAAATCTAGCTTAAAGCAGGTCACCAATGAGCATTGGATGGTTTAAAAAAAAGTATTTAATCATTTTTAGAAGTAGTTTCGATCACAATTTTCTATCATAAACTTGTTTCGTTCCTACTTTGGACTCATCAGCCGTATACACTCACTACTCTGCAATGAACTGAATTCAGAATTTTCGAATCTTACAACAAATGTATCATCATTTAGCTAGTGTTTTATAAATCCATCACAAGACAAAGAATTTTACAACGATATCAAGGAACAGATCCAACCAAGCAACTGTGGTGCATTATCATAGTAGTCAGATTTTAGGAAATACTAAAATGTATATTACACACATTGGACTAGCATTAGTATGAATGAAATAAGCACATCAGGCGAGTAAATATTGTAGGTGGCATTAGAAAGCATAGAAAGGAATGTTTAAAAAGACGAAAGTCAATTTCACTTTCTTGTTGCATAAACTGTTTCATCAATTACTTCATATATGTTTTAAGACACTTTTCTCATTGATTCTTGAGTTTAGATACCTTTGGAACTGTCTGTGAACTATTCTTTCCCATTATATTAAGTAACTTCCAGGTTAGTTAGATTGATTATAGCCATAATGACACTATTATTACTCCTGGATTGTGCGTTAACATGCCGATGAGTTGAGTTCAGTATGAAAGTACAGTTGATGAACCAGGTATACTTTGTACGTGAATGGGAGATTGTATAGCCAAGTCACTGTAAGACGAATATTGACTGAAATTAGTTGGATAACTCAGCATGATAGCCGTAAGTACTATTTTACTTTATTTTATTATGCGACTATGAAACATGGCCATCGAAAGCACAGAACATAAGAAGGCTTCAAGTGTTTGATTACCATCGCCTTCGAACCCGCTAGTCATGTTTCGCGGTGTTATCACGTCAATAACCCAATAGTCAGGAGTACAGAGGACAGAAAAGTTAGTTGATGAGGTTATGATGCTTCGTTGACTGCGATGGCTGGGATCTGCTTAACATATGCTTCGTCACATCATCGTCAAATATTACACACCTATTTAGGCAGATATTTGCAAAATGTAGTTCATTTTCTCTTCTGCTTCTATTTTGACTTGCTCTTCATGCACCCACGTTGCCTCTTGG